AGTTCTAATTTTCAGCACATGACTATATTGGAGTAGGGATAGAGACAAATAATTAGAAATAGGTCAATAAAAGAGTAAGAAATGACTGTGGCTGAAAAAAAAAAAGAATTCATTTATGAGCCACTCATTATCAGTTTTCAGGTTAAATGTTACTGCTTTTGAGCTTGGTTAGGCAGAATATTTAATAGTACAGTTGACTGAAATGGGAGAAGATAGGGAGGAGTGGAGGGAATGTGGGGATACCAGAATTGCCCTCATCGTCCACTTGGCTGCCGGCAGAGACCCCTCCACGGCTGCTGTGGGACCTCTGGGTACACGCACATTCATCTCCACGTAGCAGGCTGGATAGCGTTCAGAATTTCTCCTACCTCCTATTACTCAGTTCTTTTTGAAGAATATAGCCGAGTCTGTTTTTTATTCAGTCAGAATCAGAAACTGGAAACCCCACATCCCTCGGAAGAACTTTATCCAACCCATCCCACCTGTATCGTTTTATATAAGAGACAGAACATCACAATATGCCTCTTAGCCCTGCCTTTCCTGTGTTCAAAGTAGTTTTTCCAAAGACTTCTCAGGCATTTTGATAAGACAGTAGAGGACGTAGTGGAGACTGCTAAGGGAATTCCTTCTGGGGGGTAATGGGGCTCTGGACTGTGCACTGCTAGCCCCACCTGTAGTTTCTGTGCTCCTGTGTTTGGAACCTGAGTGGTCAGTGAGAAGGAGCTCATCATAATTCACATGCCCTCTAACCTCTCTTTCCCCCCTCTTCCTTGACTTGGCTCGATGCCTCAGTATATAATTGGATTCCCACACCAGAAATGCGAGTGTCGTCATTGACACTCCCTCCATCTCTGCAGCTAATCCCAAGTCCTGGTGAATGGGCTTCCGAAACATTTCTCAAATGCATTCTTTTCTCTGTGGCTCTAGTGATCTAGTTCAGCCCTCATCGGCTTCCTGGACAACAGTGGTCACCTTTTAGCCTATCTTCTCAACTTGATACTTGTCCCCTTCAAACCCATCTGTCATGATGCCATTAGGGTGAGCTATTCAGAAGTACAGGTTAGGCTGTATCAGCCCTGTGCCTAAACCCTCTTTTCTTCCCCATCTGTGTCAGGTTACTTTCCATTATAGGCAACAGAAAACTAAACTTGAATTGGCTTAAGCATGAAAGATTCAGGTGACAGATCAGTTGTGAACTTGGTGAGGAATTTGGACTATATTGCGGTGCATTGGGAATCTGGAAAAATACTTAAATGAGGTATGGCATAATCTGACTTATTTTAAAGAATTACTTTCACTCCTAGTTAGAAAATGGATTGGATGGAGCAAGAATGGAGGCAGGGACCACTCTGTTAGGAAATGATTGGGTACCAATCCAGGAAGTGATCATGGTGGCCTGGAGTAATGTCATGGCAGTGGAAATGGAGGGGAAAGTTTTGAATTTGAGAGATATTTTTGAATTACAACTGATGGAACTTTCTGATGATTGTGAAGGAAAGAGAAATCAAGCGAGACTTTGGTTTGGTTTGAGTAACTGTCGGATGATGGGGCCATTTACCAACTGTTGGATGGTGGGGAAACTAGGATATAGAGGAAACTGGTTTAGGGGAGAAAAACCAAGGCTCCATATTAGATATTTTAAGTTTGGGAAGGTTGTGAGATTCCCAGGTGGGGTTATCAAGTAGTGGGTTGGATGTGCCAGTGGTAGGAGCTAGATGAGTGAGACCTGAGGTGGATGTGTTTGGGAGCCATCATCATGAAGGTGGGAGTTGAAATCCATACTGAAGTGGGTTTAAAAAGTCCTGGAGTAAAGAAAATCAGGCTGTGCTGATATAATTAGTTTGCTATTTCCTTTTAAAAAATCCTCTCATTACTACTCATTCCTTTTAAAAAAACCTCTCATCCTCTATTACAAAATAATTTTCAGGTAAGTTTGTTAAATGAACACTTTTTCAGAATAAAATTGGTTGAAAATTTATCTTGCAATAATAATAAGGCTTTCTTAGTATAGTATCAGTGATGGAAATAATAAAGTGACTAATACTTTATGATGCATACAAGTTTTTCAAGCCTAAAGTGACAAGTAAAAGAAATTCTGAGAAAAAAATATTGGTAAAGGTGGTACAGTGCTAGTAGATCTCTAACTTACTGAGAACAAAATCAGTAGGCAAACCTTAACAAGCCAGTCACAACAGAGAAAGCTAGTAAACACTCCCAGTGCTGCCACTGAAACAACGAAATACGCCAGAATATTAATTGTGATCAGTGGGAATAGGTGAGATTTTTTTTTCCTTTTTCCTTTTATGTGAAAAATATTTCCAAATCTTCCATTTGGGTATGTATTATTCTTAAAATTAGAAGCAAATTAATATAAGAAGAAAAATGATTAAAATAGTTGCATAAATGTATGAGTTTTAGAAAATGCTATAAAAATTCTTCCTTTTGACCAAAATCTGTTCCAAGTCTTTAGGAGCAAAAGGAAAGCTAATATAATCTTATCTCTAGATTAAGGTAATGTTCAGTGGGTTGTTAGCGATGAAGATCTTAAAATGTGATGTAATTTGATAGAGTGAATCAGATCAGTATATTATTATACCATTATGTGATAAAGTCTACATACAGTCTCTTTAGTTGCAAATGGGAGGAAGTGGCCAGGGAAAAAAGCAAGATGTTAAAAAAGTCATCTCCATATTTTTGGCCAGTCTTAGAATATATTATCTTGAATATTATTTTTCAGAAACTTTATTAAGGATAGTAATTTACTTTTAGGACTCTGATCTTTCAATTTCTTTGCGTTGTTTCGTTCATGTTACAATTAGGGTTATGTCTTAAAAATTTTTTAACAAAATATTTTAAACATCTTTCCTCAGCTTTCTTATCAAGTCTGATGCAAAATTGTGGTGAAGACCTGGGTTTTAGTTCATATCTCCTTTGCCCAGACAGCGAGTTTTGCAGTTAGTCAGTTAGGCAGATAACGTAAAGCCTATTTTATGAACACTTGAGAAGTATACAACATTTTGCGAAGTTCTAGCTAATTCTTCTTTGTTGTAATAGTGTGAAAACTTAATGTTTTTGTTATCATTGCACGCGAATCCCAAAAATGTCTGTAAAAATAATCACTGTAACTTAAATACAATCTGTATCTTAAACACTGGTCAGTGATATATAATGGATTGTAATTTTCTTACTTATTTTAGAAGAGCACATGCCCCCTGCTGAAGAACAACAGGAGGTACCACCAGGTATGACATTTTGTTGGATGCATTGCTCTTTCCTTTTCTATTTAATTTAAAACGTACTGTTGATAGGCACAGTAGCTGTATGAAATCAGTCGATGAAGAGTAAAAATCCTGAGAGAAGGATTAATTTTACCTAAATTTAAAGAGAAGATTGCGTTTTGATCAGTTGAGCCAAAGTAAAGGAAAATACATGTCAGATTCAGTCTAGTACATGTTTGTTGAGCTAGACTGTGAGGAGTGTTAAAGATCAAAGTGCCATATGATTTTTGCCTTTATAGATGGTAGTAGCAGTAGTAGTTAGGTGGTTTTTTTTTTAAATTGATAGGCTAATTGATGATGGATCAGAATTGCCTTAAGATGAAAGTTCTAGTAGTGCATACTTTTGTGACTTTATGCTTCTTCCCCATTCCCCATTTCCGTGACGGCATCTTAGTGCCCTGGGCGATCCTGGCTGGCTGCCTAGGTCTTGTTAGTACCCGAAGTCTTTCTTTCCAGCCCACTGGGTTAATCCATTTCTGTACTTTTCCCTCCCCTCTGCCACATGCCCTTCTCACAGCAGTGAATTTAGACAGTGGGAACATCATTTCGACCAGGGCCTGTGCTTTCAAATGGCCTTTGAGAGATGACATTAATTCTACCTGCAATCAGAAATTAACATACAAGCCTCCTGTTCTCATAGTGGGAAAGACATGTTTTGTGAAGAGGGGGGTTTCTGGGACCTCTGTCCCAAGGGTATTTCCTCTTGCTTCTGTGTTTTATTTCCATTTTCTTTCTTTTTGGTTGAATTTTTGCTCCGATTTCTTCCATTATGCTTAATGTGAATTTTGTAGCAATGATGTGCATTACTCTTGTTGATTTTGGTAGAAATAATTATAACTGCCAGAATCTCCTGACTAATAAATTTCAAGGAAAAAAAATAACTTTTATAATCAAAGAATATTTTTATATACCCCAGCTCATCGTTGCTTATTTCACGTTGGGATGTTACAGGCTTTGGCGGTTGTCATACCGTGTACATTTATAGTCATCTGTACAAATGCTTAAGAGAACTGGGTTGTTGGTATTATAATGTGAATGAGAATAGAAATGCATGGAGAATTTGGGCTTTTACATGATGGATACTGCGCAGGTACGTGTATTTTGTGTTTAGGAAAGGTGCACGGAGCAGGGAGAGTTGATGTTTCTATTTTGCCTTTGTAATTTCTGCTTGATTGTTGAGGGGGCTTCACGGAGGGCCTTGTTTCTGCCTTGAGGCAGAGCACGTTACTGAGTTAGCATTTCAATTACCGTCCAGTAATTTAAAGAAATTGTCTTCGAAGTATTTTTTAAAATAATGAGTTTTTATAACATTGACTCTTTTCGAGTTACAGTGCAGATTTTTTAATATTGACCTGACTTTAGCGAAGGCATAAAAAGTAATACTGTCTTCTGGCCAGAAATTTCTGTGCTTTTATTTCCATGTTTTATAAGCTGAGCGCAAGAATTTCCTCACAACATAAATATAAAATACCCTGTGGTTGGGGTGCTGGAAGAAGGTGCTTTTTGAGAGGAGGTATTTAACAACCGAAGCACGTAAAAATGCAGATTTGATTAATATCTGTACTCACTGACATACAATAAGTTCCCCATAAACCATGACCATAATTACTATTTTTTTTAGTAATTAATTAGCCTGATCTTCGAGGTGGATCAAGAGAAGTTAAACCCTGAAAGACCTGCTCAGGAAGTTGTAACCTGTAATTTGGTGTCATAAAAATTCGATTGACCTGCTGCCCAGTTACAGTGTGACCTTGCCAGAAGACACTATAAGGCCAAGAGTTAGCAATAGTTATTTTTAATGATTGCACTTGCTTTGCTTATTTCCCATTATTTTCATAGTCTTACTGTATATTACAACCTCTTTTATTCAGTCTTACAAAAGAATAATAGTTAAAACTCTCTATATTCGTGATCTTCTTGTACAATAAGCTGACTGCTCTTCTAAGTGCTTAATTATCTGTGTGATTACAAAAACTGCAGGAACACTGATGATAGGGCCTGTCTCCCTCCTTTGCAATGCTCCTTACGTTTCAGTCTTTAAAATCTGTTATTCAGGGGGAAGCTTTAATGGAGGACCTCTGCAACATGCTAGCTGTTATTAGTTCACTTTTTCCTGGCCCTTGGAATCTTAACTGATGATTACTTTGCCCTCCCTGATCATTCCAAGACTAGGTTATACTGTCTTAATATTTCTTGTTTAAGTTCACAATAATGTATTTATTGGCGGGATAACCCCAATAGGGCGGGAACTGTCTTAATTCACCGTTATATTGAGCCACACACTAGGGCCCAGTGAATGCGAACCTTTAGTAAGCATTAAACATTACGTAGGAGCTCTTCTAAGCACATTCCATGAATTAACTCATTTAATGTTTCCAGTTGCCTAAGAGGTAGGCACGCTGTTATCTCCATTTGACAGATGAGAAAACCGAGACACAACAAAGCGGGTCTGAGAGCCGACAGGTGGTAGTATGGAGGCTGCCCCTTGCATGCTGGCTCCAGAGTTCACACTCTTGGCCTCTGTGCTCTAGAGCGTTTTTCATAAGGGAAGGCCTAAGGGCTGATGCATTCTGAGAACTGTTTTGATGTGGTAAAACTAGAGCTGTCGTCTTACTCAGCATCTTTCTCTTCATATACATTAGTACTTCAGCTAGGACCTGGAAGTGGTAGAAAAGTAAGTTGTCCAGTAGCTTGAATTTTGTCATCTTTTGTTTATATTTGTAAATTTATAAATGCTTTGCTCTTGACAAGGATATAAAAAGTCAGTCCTAAGAATGGATCATTCTGATATTAGAAGTCAAGCATTTTGAATACCAGATTTTTTTTTAAATTGTTTTTGCAATCCATGTTCCTTTAGTGGGTTTTTACTTTCTCTCTCCTTATTTATTTATTTGACAGAGAGAGAGACAGCACGAGTAGGCAGAGCAGTAGGCAGAGAGGGAGAGGGAGAAGCAGGCTCCCCGCTGAGCAGGGAGCCCGATGTGGGACTCGATCCCAGGACCCCGGGATCATGACCTGAGCCGAAGGCAGATGCACGCTTAACCGACTGAGCCACCCAGGCGCCCCCAAATGCAGATTTTTACTTGAAATCATATAGCGTGTGATTCTGGCAATATGACAGAATAAATATGAATAGCACAAATTGATTCATTTATGAAGGAATCACTTATGAAATTCATCCGAGGAAAATTTCCTGCCAAACAGTATGTTAAGGCCCTTTCACTAACTGGTTCCAGTAACAATTCTTTTCTGTCATACCATGCCAGAGAAAAAAGAAGTTAATGTTATGTTTTATGGTGATAATCATTATTCAGGATGGAGATATGTGAGCACCAGTGTTTCTGCTGCTCCCGTCTCTCTGAAAATGGAGATAACATTGTAACTCAGCCCACCCTGGACTGGTCTAGCAATGGGGATGGCTTTGCTCTGCTGCATCTGTGCGAACTTTCACTTATGCCACCCCTTGTCATCCAGCATTTCCTAATGTGATCACTAGGACACTAGCCGGCCCTAATCCGGCAGCACCAGAGGTCTTCGCTTATGTGCATAAGCGCCTAACATGAAGGTTACTGTTATAGATTTCATCGTTTAGGCAAGAAGTACGTATTGAGCAAGTACAAAGGTACAGCTGTGCCCTGGGCGAAGAAGACACTCGAGCAACAATATAGTGCCTGCCCCATAACGGGTCGCAGTCCTGTGGGCTTACAGCTGAGTAAAACAACCACTATGATGTCATCAAGTCCCCAGAGAGGTAGACAGGGCAGCACAGAGAAGGAGGAATAATTAACCCAACTTTGGGAGCAAGGGTGTGGAGAGTCACATAGGCCTCCCCAGGTGTCGTCGTGCTGGAGCTGACTTTTGAGGTGTGGGGTTGACTCATGGGGATTGGAATTGGAAGCAATGTGCAGGGAGAGAGGGCGGATGGACGGGAAGAGTCCAGGACGATTCCCGTTTTCCTGACCTGAATGCATGAATGATCAGCCCTTCGTGGACCTATTGGAGGCAGGAGGAGGTAGAGAGTAGCAGAGGAGGTGACTGGCCCGATTTCGGACATACTGGCTTTGCAACTCGGTGAACCACTTCTGAGTGGAGTCGTCTTTAAGTGTTCAGGAGCACACATTTGGGTCCTTCAGAATTGTAAATGGGCTTTTAGTTTATTTGCCTTTTCATCGGTACTCACCATTATGCCTCGAACAGCTTCCTACAACCTCAGGTATGCTTGATGGCACAGTTACGGAAATGCTCATTCCTCTCACAGGCTAGCTCGCTGACAAATTCTAAGAGAACCTGACGCCAAACGCATTTGTAAAAACGTTTTCTGTTGAGGTGTAATTGACGCACACAGACGTGCTCACTCGTTGAACGTACAGCTTAAGGAACTTGTGCCTGCGATCCATTCCTGCACCCACTCGTCGGAATACTTCTAGTGCTCCAGAAATCTCTCCTTCCTCCCGCTCCGTCCCATCCCCCCCAACAGCAGCTGTGCTGATCTGTATCACCACTGATTGGTTTGCTTGCTCTTGAATTTAATAAAACAAAACCAGAAGCAAACACACACAAATGCAGATATGCTTTTTTGGTGACTCTTTTTTGTTGTTCAACATCGTGTCTGAGTTTCATCTACTTTGTCATGCATAGTATTGGTTTCTATTCATTGCCCTTTACTATAAATACATTACATTAAAAAAATCCATTCTACATTGATAGCTGTTATGAATGTTTCCAGTTTCTGACTGTTATGAAGAAAGCTTCTATGAATAATCTTGTACATGTCTATTGTATATAAATACTCATTTCTGTTGGATATATAAAAGTATACAGATGATTTCTAGTTACCTCACATTAGCACCAAATCTACCTATATAAAAATGTCTGGATACACATACACACACACACACACCCATATATAGGTAGGTAGATAGATAGATGGATAGATAGATAGATAGGAAGGGAGGAAGGAAGGATCATAATCCAGATTTAGAAATTATATCAAAATTTGTCTGGGCCTTTAAGTGCACCATCTTCTTTTCTACTCGAATTGTAACAGATCTAATGCTGTGATGGTAAAATCAACCAGATACTAAAGTTTGGAATGAGAAAGTATTTGCAAAAAAATTGGACAAGAATGACTTTTACTGTATACTTTTTTTACCCAATCATTTATATTGTCAGTAACATTAAAAACTGACATACGATTATATTAATGTATTTTAACTGCAACTTACAGTATCCAGTTGCTCCTTGAAAATCCTTCCTGTATTTGTTTTTCAAACACCATGCTAGATTTCTTTTTTCTCTATTACATTTCTTATTAATAACAGTGAAAACACTGACGGGAGAAAGAGAGTTAATGCTTGTATCTCTCAAAAGATTGAAATTCTTAAATTTAGTTGTAATTCTCAGATGCTCTAAGAAGCTTAAATTTTCATCAGCAGCTTTGCAAGTAATTCCCAGGGACTTCTCTGGGTAATCACTGTTTAACGAGTTGCCCTTAAAAACAACAATAGCACATAAAAAGCATTTACTTCTGTCGGTGGGTTTTTTTTTTTTTTGTAGAATGAAAATGAAGCAGTTTCACAGTCTGTGTCTGGTTGGTCCTTTAATTTAGATTTCCCCTTATTTTTGCAGATACTTAAAGCTTCAGAAAGACTGCCCCCACTACCGCAGGAGGACCAGCCTAACCATACGCTCCAAAAGATGGCTGTGATAGGTCTTGTGACGCAATTACTGAGCAGACCAAGATCTTTGGGAATGAACACTAAAGATGTTTTCAATCAATCATAGTCCACTGGCATCTTAGTGTATTTTTTTTTTTTTTTTTAGAAACAGAAATTACATGTAATGTTACATTCCTGCATGTCCATTTTCAATAGCTTTAGTGGATCCTTTGGTTTTTCTCCTCTTTCTTGTTGTGACACAGCTTCCGATCTTACCTACATTTATGTGTGTTGTTCAGATAACAGTTGATTATATTGACGATGTAGTAGCATTTGTCTTGGCAGGGTTTTACTGTGTATATGACTGGTAATTACCCCTACGTCTGTTGGACTGACACGTGTAAACGGCATAAATGTGACCTCAAAGCCATGAAGAGTGCCCTGCGCTTGCACTCCGAGGCCCGCTACTGACGGTCACGGTTAGCTGTGAAGATTGGAGCTGGATATACCCGCACTGATATCCTTAGAAGACGTTTCTACCTTGGCTTCGAGTGTTCAGGGTAAAACTCAAATTTTGAGGTTCCTGGAGCTGGTAGCTCACTGATGAGAAAAGTTGAATATTTCGGTGCAAGTCTTAAGTTATCGTGGTTTATTTATTTTTCAGATCGAGGGGGAACAGTTAAAATTCCTTGCTAGGATATAGGCAAAAGGAATGGCCTGCTCTGTCATGCAAAAACGCTGTCGGGCACCTCGGATCAATCATAGAATAGCTTTGTCCCTTCGGTATTTGTTGAAATTTTAGAAAACCTGTATAAATTGCCAGTGCACATCTTAAAGGTTGCTCTGCCGTTGGCTAATTGAGTTATGCCCTCACAACACTGGAGACGGCCCCGTGATCTTACTAGAGAACGATGCCTCTAGCTGGGTTGATGTAGGGCGTGTGGAAGGTGCACACAAGCCGCTTTTCCTGCTGCTGTTTGCAACGTATGAGCCTTTTCTTTTCCACCCTGAAGAGTTTCTTCTACTTTTAAAGTGGTTTATTTGGACTCAGCAATAGTTGCTGTGATGAAAATACTCATTTGTTAGGAAAAGAAGGTAGTGACATCATTTTGAAAGGACCATGAGCTATTAAAATCAAAGGAAAAGCCATAAGAAGTAATTTCATTTCCATGTCAGGGATAGCTCTTGATTATGTTAACATTGTTTTAAGATAAGATGACTTTCTTCTCCCCTGCTTTTAGGGTTACAATCAGAGAGATTTTATATTTTTATCCTTATAGATCATAGTTACAACATAGTGAGTAATGCATGCTGACCCAGTGGGTAGTGAAATCCAGAAGACTGAGTTACTAAGAAAAGCAATAATTTTCTAAAGCTGTGATATGGGTAATACGGAGTTGCTACTCAAATTCTAATAAAGCTCTTAATTCATATTGTGAATTATAGAACACTACTTTTTATAAAGCCTTATTTTTTTAGGGCAACTTAGCAGTGACATAGAACTGATAAATGAGTAGAATTTTGCTGGATTTTTGTATATAATCTCTAGAGCTCTGGAAACTGAGGATTCGTTATAATGTGGTCAACTTCAAATACTTTCTGATTCCAAATATCTGAATTAATGAGCCTTGTCTTCACAAATACGAGCCACGCTGGGCAATATCAATGGATTTTCTAAAAATAATGTAAATGTCTTCTGTTTAATGTTATTTGAGTGCAATAAAATGCAGAATTCTTCTCTATATTGTCATTATTTTGAATTATTATTTTGTTATATAACAAAATCAGTTCATTTTATACTTAACTAGTGTATTAGAATATTACAGTATCCTTGATGACTGAAATCACGAAGGTGTACCTTCGACCCTTTCTTAACCTGTTTCTAATAGGTGATGTTTATTTTGTTTAACATTTACTCTGATGCTACATTGCCGGGAGCCAGATTAAAATGAAATAGCCTGTGCATCCATCCTTTGTAGGTTTTTTTAGCACCTAGCAGTTTTGGTAATTCCCTAGTGAGGCAAGCCCCACTCCCCTACAGCCTCCTGCTCCCCCATGACCATTGTACCATGAGGACATGAACTCCATCGTAGTTGAGAAGACGAAAGAGTCTGAGCAGGTGGAAGGGCAGGTGAGGGTACGGCAGGTTCTCTTTACATCTTCATTCTTGGGGCAGAAAAGGAGAACTAGACAAGTAGGGAAGAAGCCTCCGGGATCCAGAAAGTGTTGTTTTCTCCTCCGGCATGCCAGAAGGAGACTTCAGACTCACTCACTCAGGATAAACAGACCCACTTTTTTTTTTATTATGTTATGTTAATCACCATACATTACATCATTAGTTGAAATCTTGCCATTTGCAACGACGTGGATGGAACTGGAGGGTATTATGCTGAGCGAAATCGGAGGGGGAGACGAACCATAAACAGACCCACTTTTATTGACTGCATTGCCTCTGCTGAGCGCTTTGTGTGTGTCGGTCACTTGCATTTTCCCAGCAGGTGGGGCTTATCCCTGCTTGCAGATAAGGAAACTGAGGGGCAGAGAGGCCGAGACACCTGCCAGCCATGGTCCTTCATGGTGAGCACGTGGGCAACAGGTGGCAGGTGGAAACAGTTGGAGGGAGGCCAGAATGCAGGCAGGAGAGCAGGTCGGAGACTAACAAGTAATAGTCCAGGTGACTGTGGACGGGCGACCTTGGGAAGTACTGGCAGAGAGACAGAGAAGGGGGACAGGAAAGTTGTGGCTGGCTGAGTGGGCCAGCACCGGGGAAACAGAGTCCTGGAGAGTCACAGATGCCAGGGACATGAGGAACTGGCGAGGGCAACTGGGCCCGGATGGAAATTAGCTTTGGACGTGCGTGAGGGCCAAGAAGAACTGGTCAGTAAGCAGGGAAGCACGGGTACTGGAACAGCATAGAGTTCAGGATATTAAGTGATTTTCTTTAATGGTGTATGATCATTTTTGAACGATTAAGATCCCGTTCTTTTTAGTAAGGTTTTCCTTATCCTGAGAGGGGGGAAAAAAGTAAGTACAGTTAGGGATTGCATTACACCTTTCTTCTTGGATACGAGTGCTTAAACCCTAAGTATGAGTTACAAGTGAACTTGGACATGCGTAATTTTCAGAATTGGGCTGAGCAGATAGCTCCCTTTAACTTGGAGACTGCCCGTCATTGGAACATACAGAGTGTGATTGAAGTATTATTACAGAGGATACTTTCTAAGTCAGTCTTACCTGTTCTGTGACCTTTGGCAAGATTCCTGAGCCTCTCTAAGCCTTAGTTTCCTTATCCATAAAATTAAAACTACCTCCCAGGGTTGATGGGGTTGATGGGATCGTCTGCAGCAAGTGCTTAGAACAATGCCTGGCACTGTAAGTCCTTCTCTGGGGCACGGCGAGGTCCCCATGGGTCTCCCAGGGAAGCGAGTGTACACAGAGAATAAAGCACACAGAGAATAAAGCATGTGTACACAGAGAATAAAGTAAAGCAGAGTAACACTTTCCTGTGAGCTTTGCAGAATACTAGTGAAGGAAGCTGGATCTCTGAAAATGCTTTTACCCACTGAAAATCAGAGGGGCCAAAATGCCTGCTCTGCTCATTTCCCCATATCCAAACGCGAGTCACAGATGTCCACATGTTGGTGTGAGGTGAAGGGCAGAAGGGGACGTGAGAGAGAGAGCTCTTGCCCAGAGCTGGGGAAGTCTGGCCTGGACCTTCTTCGGTCAGGCTCACTGCCCTCTCGTAAATACTGCTGCTGGGGAGGAAGAAAGATGGTGGCCCTCGTTCCCCGGGGGGTGCCTGGCCAGGGCCCTCCTACCCATTTAAAATGGGACCCATTCAAACCACTCCTCCTTCCTTATTTCTCCCCTGGGGGCGGGAAGATGTGTGGGGAGCCCTCAACTCTTCGTGGGTAGCACCCACCTGTTCTCTCTAGTCAGGTTAGCAACTTGCATTTCATGCTTGCGTTTTCAGATGACCCCAGCCCCGTGCCAGGCGACGGATTCCTGGAGAACGAGGAGGGGCACAGCCTTCCTGCAGGCACTACTGGTAGCACTGGAAGGGCTCCTTGGGGACCAGGATTGTGCGTTGATGTTTTTCCTCAATCCTGTGTCCTCCGAGAGTGCATCCTATGAAATGATGCGCTGCCTAACTTTTTGATGAAGGAGGTTATGGTTAATACGATCAGAAATTCTAGGACATTCGACAGAAATCTAGGATGGCTTTTTGTTTTTGTTTTTGTCTTTAAATATCCCGTGTACGTCCTGCAGCACTGGCAGGAAGAGTGTGCCAGTCAACTTGATAAAACCCACTCTTTGCTCGAGGCAAAGCCTGCATGTCCCTATCTCCCGTTTCTCTTTCAGGGAAGGTAGGGAAGGGCACTGTGGGAAGATTATATGCTTTGGAATGATGTAAGCAGCTGACCTTGATAGGTCAGGCACTCGACTTTCCCAGCCTCAGCTTCTTCCTTTGCACAGAGGGAGACAGACCTCCCCCTAGGGAGGCAGGAGGCAGTAGGGGGGCGCGATGCACTTCGACTGAGCCTGCACTCTGCAGCTTTCACAGGTCATTCCCTTCTTCTCCATTGGTGTCTTGAAACGCCTGACCTATAAAAAGCCCTCCCTTGTACTGGAAGCCTGCCTCCCATCTACTTGTCACTTCTAAAAAAGTGCAATGTTTGATAGGAATGTATGGAGGAAGCCGGCGAGCAAAAAAATTGATCGTTCAGTGGTTGTACCCCTGATCTCACCCCACGGCCCGGTCTACTCTGGGGGAAGAACTGAGTCTGATTTTGTATCAGTCTCCCAAACTCTGCGCTATCCTGACTCCCACACACATGCCTATACACGCATTCCCAGAAATACCCAAAGCTAGATGAGTACCTACGGGAACTATATAATCAACTGGTCTACCGTGAAATTTAGCTAGACCCCAACTTCTATGAAACAGTGGGCCAGATCTGAGAAGTGCAGAAATGAACTTATAAGCTCAGGGTCAGGTCATGTGCCATAGTTTTCCATGTAAGGTGGATGTTGTTTGGTCGAGGTTCTGGGTGGGTTTTACTGCACACGGTCCCATTCGTGGGAGAGACCCTACGACTGTGGTTAACTTAGTGAGAGGCTGACACAGGTGGGCTGTCTGGCCCATCTCGGCTCCTCAGCACCTGGGCTCAGTGCAGCAACCCTTAGTGTTCCAGATGTGTATGTGTGAAGTCCTTGGGGAAGTGAGACTGGTGTCACCCCAGTGAGGGGGACATGCGGCATTTCTTTAAAGCACATGGTGGCTGTTAAAGTCTTCTGGTTTTAGGAGACAGTATCAATATTGAACAAGCTTTGGTGAGGGCTTCACTCCACTCCAGTTTGCCTTTATACCCACAGAGGCACTTTTGGAGGAGATGACCCACAGCCCTACTTTCCTATTAATGAGGAATACTTAGCCTGGTGCCTCACACCTGGTTACTTTTTTTTTTTTTAAACATTTTTTTTTAAAGATTTTTTAAATTTATTTATTAGAGAGAGAGTGAGAGAGAGAGCGCAAGAGGGGGTAGGGTTAGAGGGAGAAGCAGACTCCCTGCCGAGCAGGGAGCCCGATGTGGGACTCGATCCAGGGACTCCAGGATCATGACCTGAGCCGAAGGCAGTCGCTTAACCAACTGAGCCACCCAGGCGCCCACACCTGGTTACTTTTATAAGTATAAGCCTGGTGACTTTTAAAAGCAATTCATATGAGTCTAATCTTAATATTTTGTAACAGATTTCATGTGTAAAGAATTCAGGGTTTAGGAAAATTGGAATTCTATGCCCAGGAATATTTTTCTTAAATTATATTTATTTGAATTCATTTAAATATGGTCCTATATTTTGAGATAACAAATGGGGACTTTCACAATACTTACTTTGTTTTGTCTTTACTTTTCAGAAACAAATAGAAAAACAGATGATCCAGAAATAAAAGAAAAAGGTGAGATCATCAAATAAACTGCCTTTCAAATATATATAGGAAGAAAATCATCACACTATTCATGAATAACATGCTGATTTTATTTTGTATCACCAGTGAAAAGAAATTGCCTCTGGGTTTATTATTTCAATGGTTTTATCAACAAACATTTATCAATATTTACATAAACATTAAGAGCAAAGTCTCTAAAGAGGTAGCCTGGTTTCTAATCCTGGTTTTGCTGTTCACTATATGTATGTCTGAGAATTCCTTGCCCTCTGTGCCTCAGTTTCCTCTCTGTGATATGGGAATAAAATAGTACCAAGTTCAGGGACCAGAAGACTCCTGTTTCTACGATAGTAATTAAATGACAATGTGTGTAAGGTACTTAAAGCAATGCATAGCGCAGGGAAAGCACTTAGGAAATGTTAAATATTATTGTTTATGTTAACATCCGTGCCAGGAATAGAGATCCAGAAATTACTAGAACATGTTCTCTTTTTATAAGGAACTCTGAGTTGTTGGAAGGACATGCAAAGAAGGTTACATCCATAAAGAAAGAATCATCTCTGCCTTCCCACAGTTGATTACAATGGGATTCTAATAAATTAAATAACCCAATAGAATTTTAACTCAGCTCTTACAAAGATTCCTTAGCTTACTTGGAGTGAGGAACCAAGTTAAACAATTATATAGATGATCATGGAATAGTGCTTATGCTTTTTTTTTTTTTTTTTGCATATTCTACTTCCCTTTATTCTTTCCAATTGTGGACATTTTTATTTTTCAGTATTTAATTCAAGC